GACACACACACGGTGTCACCCCAGGGGCACAGGGACACGAGGACACACACACGGTGTCACCCCAGGGGCACAGGGACACGAGGACACACACACGGTGTCACCCCAGGGGCACAGGGACACGAGGACACACACACGGTGTCACCCCAGGGGCACAGGGACACGGTGTCACCCCAGGGGCACAGGGACACGAGGACACGCACACGGTGTCACCCCAGGGGCACAGGGACACGAGGACACACACGGTGTCACCCCAGGCCCCCCCCCGATGTCCCCCCACTCACACGCCGGCGCCTGCAGGTGGGTGCAGCCGATGAACCCCACGAGGCGCCGCCCCCGCGCCGACCCCAACAGCACCTGGGGGGGGGGACACGGCACGTGTGTGTCACCTCGGCGGGTCCCCATCACCGCCCCCCACACCCCTCCCCGGGCTCCCCCCCTCACCTGGGCCACCAGCAGCCCCTTGTTGGCCAGCGCGTCCTCGCGGGCGCCGTTGGGGAAGGGGTGGAAGCGGGCGGCCAGCAGCGGGAAGCGGCTGCCCAGGACGAGCCCGCTGCCCAGCACCCGCAGCCGCCGCCGCCGCAGCCCCCCCGGGCCCACCCCCCACAGCACGAAGGGGAACCTGCGGCCCAGGCGCCGGCGCAGGAGCGCGGCCGCGGCGCCGTCGAACACCTCCTGCAGGCACACGAAGTCCGCGTCCGGCGGGATGTGGTCCGAGAGCACCGACGGCGCCGGGGCCGACGTCGGCATCCCCGGGACCGACGTCGGCATCCCCGGGACCGGGGTGGACGCTGCGGGCGGGGCAGGTCCCGGCGTTGGGCTGGACGGCGGCACCACCAGCGTTGGTACCGAGTCGTCTGCCGGTGATGGATTGGTCATCGGTGATGGGTTGGCCGTCGGTGATCGGTTGGCCATCGGTGACGGGTTGGCCATCGGTGACGGGTTGGCCGTCGGTGATGGGTTGGCCGTCGGTGATGGGTTGGCCGCCGCCATCTCCAGCCATGGCATCGTGTTGGTCATCGGCACTGGGTTGGCCACGGGTGACGGATTGGCCTCCGGCATCTCCAGCCCCGACGCTGGATGGGCCGCCATCACCGGATCCTCCGCCGGCACCTCCCGCGCCGCCTCGGTGCCGGGCCCGCGCCGCAGCCACGCCGTGCCCCCGTAGCCTCCGGCCTCCCCGCGCCGCGGCCCCAGCAGCCCGTCGCGGTCTCCGGAAGGTTCCTCCGGCGCCCCGGGCGCGAGGAGCCGGGCGATGCGCCGGGCGCGTTGCCGCGTGCGGCCCAGGTTGCTGAAGCGGGCCAGGCCGCTGGGCAGCAGGCACAGGTTGGCGCTGAGGAAGGTGAAGGAGCGGCGGCTCCGCGGGTCCCAGGGCGGCGCGGGCGCGGTGCCGGCCGCGTGCTGGAGCACCAGGGGCCGGCGGGCGGCCTGGGCCGGGAGCCACAGCAGCAGGCCCAGCGCGCCCAGGGGCAGCGACAGCAGCAGCGCCGGCACCAGCGCCAGCCCCGCCAGCACCCGGGCGCCCACTCCCCAAAAGCGCCCGCCCGGGGCGCGACGCCACCGCGCCCGCTGCGCCGTGGTGGGACGCAGGGCCAGCAGCCGGTCCAGCGCCCACCAAGCCGGGGCCAGCAGCCCCCCGGCCACCGCGGCCAGCGCGGCCAGCGCCGGGTTGGGGAAGGGGGACTCCGGCAGCCGCGGGGGGGGCGGCCACGGCATCGGGGCGTCGGTGGTGGGGTCGCAACCCGGGTCAGAGGCGCCGGCGCAGTTGGGGCAACCTGCGGGAGAGAGACCCCGGTGAGGGGGTGGGAGTGGGGGGGAGTGGGACCCGTCTGTCTGCAGCGTCCCATCGCTGTGGGGACGCCCCAGGGCCGGGGGTGGGACACACACACACCCCCCCCGG